AGTTTCCTGTTGTCCCCGCCCTTCGCACGTGGCCTCAGGGCGCCCTAACTCCAGTGTCCAACAACAGCCCCCTGCTCTGTCCCAACTCCTCTCACACCATTCCCTAAGCCCCCACCCCTGCTATGCCTATGCCCTCATTCCACCGCTTCCTGCCCCTGCTCCACTTCATCCACTCCTCCAAGCCCTCCTCTCTTGAGCTACATGGGCCAGGGAATTAGCAAGGAGCCTGGTGCCATCTGCCCCAAACTCACAGGCAGTGGGGAAAGCAGTGACCCAGACCCCACCCTCTCTGCACAGCCAGCTCCCAGCTGCATCACTTCTGCTTCCTGCTGTCAGTGAGTGTGGGAACAGTTCCACATCCTCCTCCTCAAAGAAAAAACAGTTTCTTGCCATTTCAACCAGAAAGGACATTGTCTCAACGACTTGATAACCTGCATCCTGCTTCAAAGGCCTTTTAAGACTTCACTTGAAAGAGAATCCTCTGAACTGTCATTTATGCTTAAATTCAACACTTTACACTCAAGTTTAAATAAAGACGCTAATTATCTTACTCATTACAAAGATAGCTTCCCCAATTATCACCTCTAATATCATTAGTTCACAGACATTTACTTCCCCCCCATCCCCCTTCTGTTCTGAAATTTGATTTGTCCTTTTCATATGTGTTCATTTTTTTAATTGTATCCTTTGGTATATATGGTTGTGACAATTTTCTTCCACTATTTGATCTGAGGAAGTGGGTCTGGCCCACGAAAGCTCATCACCTAATAAACCATCTTGTTAGTCTTTAAAGTGCTACATAGTCCTGGTTTTTGTTTCATCTTCCTCCCAGGCCTCCTCCCCCAAGGTGTTGGGGAGCCAGGAAAGCAGAGTGGGCTGGGGCCCTTAACTTCCAGCTGATACTGCCTCCCTGCCCTGCTGCGGCCCCCTCCCTCCACTGCTCCTGTCCCCTTGGCCAGGAACGCTGCCCCTCCCTGCCACGCATGAGGGGCTGTGAATGGCACCAAAATATCTAGGAACAGCCCTGCCCAACCTCCTACCCCAGCCTGGTGAAAGTGAATGAGGATGGACTGAGCGGGGCAGGCAGAGTAGATCCTGGGTTGCCCTTAAATTTAAAAAAGTGATCTAATGGAATAACATGCTTTTTAATCTAGCAGAAAAAGACATAAAATGATGCACAGCCTGGAAGTGAAGCTAGATAAATATGGCTTTGTCTACACTTGACATTTTAAAGAGTAGCTTTGGCAGCATTTTAACATGGCAGCGTGGTTACCTCATGAGTTCCAGGAGAGAGTTTGCACTCCAAACATACCGCCTCTGTGAGGGGAGAAGATATGCTCCCAGCACTGTAGCCCAGTTCACACTGGCACTTTACAGCACTGTAATTTGCTGCACATGGGGGGGGAGGGGAGAGGGGAGAGGTGAGTGTGCTTTTTTAACATGCCTGAACCAGAAAGTTGCAGTGCAGTAAAGAGGCATTGTAGACTTAGTCTATATGTGGGAAATAAGATTTTTGACAGGATAATTAATCATTGGAACAAGTATGAAGAATTGTGATGGATTCTCCAATCACTAACCATTTTAAAATCAAGCTTGTAAGCCTGTATGTTTTTCTAAAATATGTGCTGTAAGAACTGGGGAGAGAGGATTCTATGGCCTGTGTTACATAGGAGATCAGATTTGATGACCACAGTGCTCTCTGCTGGCCTTGGAATCTATTAGTCTATTATATACAACTCAGCAGAGAGAGCATGCCATTTATGAACATAGACAGGGTACAGCAAACACATTAAATATCTTGTACAATTTCACATGTGCTATATCTGCTCTATTCTAAAGCTCCACTGGTGAGACAAAGTGTCAAATGTTAAAGTCCTTGAAAAAGCAAAACAACCTGCAACAAGGCAGTTTAATCAAAGCTCTATTTTTAGACAGACGGATCAGAGTGTAAGAATGGGAGATGACAGACTCCCAACAAAGCTTCTCTATGGTGAGCTGAAACTCAGAAAATGCAAGAGGAGTGGTCAAGGAATGCCCTGTTAAGAGACACTCCAGAAGAATCTCATCTTGTGCCGCAGAACTAATATACTAATAACTTCGAAGATAGAGCCATAGACAGATCTGAATGGAGGGTAACTATCAATAAAAAGGTTGTAAGTACTTTGAGGAAGACAGATGAAAAAAAAATCGATTGAAAAGACAGCCAAGTATCAAGTGGGAGTGTGCACATTCCTGTGTAATATCTATTTATCAACTTGCTCTTCATGGACTGGACTATATGGTCACATAAAAACAAAAATGACACCATGACATCACTGTTTGATACAACAGTCATTATATAGTTAATTTTAATTACTAAGATACAGTCTCAAACTATTAATTTCTGAATTTAAAGCTTTTAGTAACATAGGTCTATGAATAGAAGCTCAAACAGGTTTTAAAGATAGGGTCATGAGCCATGTTATTTATTCAGCCTACATAACTGATTCAGATTTTACAGAATGCAAATTTTCATTAGAAGATGCCTATCTCTAGTTCTTTTTTTTATTGTGTAAAAAACCTGAATAATGTGAAACGTGTAGCCTATATATAACTGAGGCAGAGTGACAAGTATCAGAGGAAACACAACAAATGGTCTGATAGCACTTTATAGACTAACAAAACATGTAGGTGGTATCCTGAGCTTTCGTGGGCACAGCCCACTTCTTCAGATGACCAGAGTTTTGAGTTTAGGATGTGCAGACCCAAAGTAAATAGGAGAGAAGGGGGGTGTGGGGTTAAAGTAACCAGACATGAACTACTTCAAGACAGACCCAAAAGAGAAAATAACAGAACTCCACTTGTTATTACCTATAGTCCACAACTCAGACCCCTCCAGCGCATTATACACAATCAGCAACCCATCTTGGAAAATGATCCCTCACTCTCAGAGGCCTTGGGAGAAAAGCCTATTCTCGCTTACAGACAACCCCCCAACCTGAAACTAATTCTTTCCAGTAACCATGCCACACAACCACATCATAAACATCCAGGAACTCAGCCCTGCAACCAAACACAATGCCAACTCTGCCCACATATCTATACTAGTGAATTCATCACTGGAGCCAACAACAAAAGCTACCAAATCAAAAGATCATTTGACTGCACATCCAGTAATTTGATCTATGCAATCAAATGCCAGCAATGCCCCACTGCTATATATATTGGACAAACTGGACAGTCTCTGCGGGAAAGAATCAATGGACATAAATCAGATATACGTAAAGGAAACATACAGAAATCTATTGGGAAACACGTTAATCTTCCTAATCACTGTTTCAAAGATCTTCAAGTGGCAGTCTTGTCACAAACCAGTTCTACTAGCCAGATACACAGAGAAACATTAGAATTAGAGTTTATCCGCAAATTCAATTCACATGCTAATGATGAAGGATGGTTAGGGCACTATCAACTTAATAGTCATTGCAGGTGCAAACAACTCTTTGTGTAGACTCCTATGTCAGGAAGGATACTATCAATTGACTTTGATTCTTATCTGCTTCGTTTTAACTACCCAATCTTCAGATACTTACTGATTCCCTCTAGCTCCCTGTCTCCCCCCCTTTGTTCCCCCCCCCCTATTTATTTTGGGTCTGCACATCCTAAACTCAAAACTCTGGTCATTAGGCTGTGCCCATGAAACCTCAATGTAC